CAGGGAGTGAGTGAGCCCCCCACCTGCTGGGAGTATGAGCCCCCACCCCCCTGCTGGGAGTGAGCCCCCCGCCAACCCCAGTGGGAGTGGGTGAGCTGTCTCCCACCCCGCTGGGAATGAGGGAGCCGCCCCCCACCCCGCTGGAAGTGTGAGCACCCCCCCGCCCTGCTGGGAGTCTGAGCCCCGCACTGGCCACTGCAGGTCTCACCCACGTGGAATAGACACTTGGCCCTGCGTCCCTGACTTTCCTTGTTGTTTCCTCTGTAATATTAATTGTGGTGACTTTCACTTTTCATTAGCGCACAGCGCCCTCAAATACAAGAACTAGATGAAGTGCTTCTTCAGGTTCCGTCTAACGAGAATGCATGACCTCCACCACACAGGATTCCAGCAGTCTGGAACAGCTCAGTAACTCGGTCCTGGTGCATTAGTTACTGTACGCTAAACCTGGGTGTGGAAGTGTCCTGAGGCCCTGTAGCAGATTACCAGAACTGGTGTCTTAAAGCTGCAGAAATTTATGCTGTCGACATCAGATCTGGCAGGGGTTCACTCCCTCTGAGGCTCTAGGACAGGATCGTTCCTGATCCTTCCAGCTTTCAGTGGCCCAGCATCCCTGGGCTTGTGGCCACATCACTGCAACCTATACCCTGGTCGTCACACGGCCTCCTCCCTGGGTGTCAATCTCCTCCTCTGTGTGTTTCTGTAAGGACACTTGTCATAACCAGGGTGATCTCATCTCAAGATTCTGAACTAATTACATCTGCCAAGATCCTTTTTTCTAAATCTTGCTTTCACAGGTTCCAGGGGTCACCAGGTTAGGACGTGGACACACCTTTTTGGGGTCACCACTGAGGGCACTGCCCCACTACTCTGGGGGCTCACTCTGTCCCAATACGGTAACCCTGTAAGGAATCCTAGGCAATCTATCTCGTTCCCCTCACTTTACAGATGAAAACACCTTCCCACACCCAGCCCAGCCGGCCCAGCCGGCCCAGCCAAGCGCTGTCCACAGTGCCCCTCAGGGGTCGGCTGGCGTGTTCTTGGTGGTTGCTTCTCCAGCGATCCCCCACTTGGCCCTACTCTTTCTCTGGCTGCTCCATCCCGGCCCCATGTCTGCTGCTCGCCTTCTCACCCAGCACCCTCTGCCTTTTAAACTGAGCCGTCTCGGATCATCCCTGTTTCATGCTGCGCACGTCCGCGGCAGATTCTGGAGCAGGGCTGGGCTGGGCAGGGGGCTAGTGGTGCGGGGGCGAGAGCTGCAGGGCAGAGGGTCCCCACTCCGTCCACCTTCTCCGAGTTTCCACCTGGCACCTCACAGCATTCGCCTTCATTGGACACTCATATGGAGAACATCGTGTACATTTTGTTTTGTCTTTCTGATAAGAGGAACATTCTGAGAGAGGGTCTGAGATGTTGTGTGCTATTGGCAGAACAGTAGCTCACCAGTGTTTACTGGATTGGATGTGGACCAGGTGTGTCCGTGCGTGCTGCCATCACAGAGGAACACAGACAGGGCGGCTTTTACACAACAGACAGTTCTTTCTCACAGTTCTGGAGGCTGAAAGTCTGAGTTCAGAGTGCCAGCGTGGCCAGGTTCTGGTGAGAACCCTCTTCCGCCTTCTCACGTGTCCTCACATGGTGGGGGTTTGGGGGGGCGGTGACAGGCCCCTGCGTGGTCTCACCCTGGGGAGTGGCATCCCAGATCCTTTACAGACATGACAGTCTCGTCCGAGGGAGGTTCAGTGAGGTTGATATGAAACAAAAGTAAAGGGAAGGCACGCCACTGAGGAGCAGGCAGGGGCGGCCCTGCTCCAGCAGGCTTCTTACAGGAAGGTTTGCAGATAGTTAGCATCAGCCGGGGGCGTGACGGCCCAGTGGTCGAGAGCCTGGTTTTCCAAATAAAGGATTATACACCATGTGCCTGGAAAGTCAGGTTAAACTCTAAGAATGGTCTGAAAGCTGGGCAGAGACTGTGACCACTGGCGAACTTGCAGTCCACTCTCCTACCTCCGGAAGGTCCCACAGACCCACGACTGTGAAGGAGTATGGTCCCCAGTGAGGGCCCGGGAAACTGGGGTTTTGCAGAGATGGTGGTTGTTCTGTTTTACATTCTTTCTTTTCAGTTTTAAGCTTCAGGCTGTGGCCTGTCGCCTTCTGGGGAAGTTCTGGGCTGGGGAGGATGTCATTCTCCTGCAGATTACGCAAACGCTCTTGAAAACTTGACTTCCATTACGGCTCCAATCACAAGCTAGCGTCATGGTGGCTCAGAGTCACACCGTCCGTCTGCGTCCCGAGGTCAGGGTGCTGAAAGCTACTCACCTGAAGGTGCTGGGGGTTCCGAGGTCAGAGCTGGGCCCCAGGCCACCTCACCGCTGACCTTAACCTCCGGGTGTCAGGAGGGGCGGTCACCAGCACACCCTCTGTGCCTGGGGCCCTTCATGTGGACTCTATTTCTCAGTCCTTTTGTGGATAACTGACAAGTGAGAGGGAAGGGATGGTGATAAACCAGTTTGTTACAAATTTTAGTTAGAATTCAGATATGGCACGTCCCGAATCATGTTCCTGTTTTCCTAGATTGAAGGTACGTACGCCTCAACGGAACGCTGTCCCAGGAGTGCAGCTGACAGCCCCCGTCGTGGGGCCGCTGGAGCGCATCCCTGACGGAAACCCCGGCTCCTGGAGCAGACCCGTCTCACTGGGTTCTGGCTCGTTTCCTCTGGTTCCGCTTGTGCTTGTTTCAGGAAGCGCATTACTTCTGAACCCTTTGACAGCTCACAGACGTGGTGAATGTTGAAAATATTCCAAACACTCATCTGTAGGTTTGACTTAACCAGTCAGCATGGTTAAGCCAGTGCTCTTCTCACTCTTACAGTGTCAGTGTCCTCTCCGTGTCCTTTATCTGCACACCTGCATTTACACCCCGTGTCGAGTCTGGTGCTCACTCGTCACGGAGGTCAGAGCGCTCTCACTCGGCCTTGCAGCAGACGGGGCAGTGTGGGTTCTGTGCAGACGCTGCGCGGTGAAGTCCTTCCTGTGCGGGGCTCACGGGACGAGAAGCCTCCCTTGCTTCCTGTCCTCAGCGGCTCACTGCTCAGTTCTCAGGTCTCGAGTGTGGGGATCTGTCCGGGCCCCATGGGGCTGCCTGGTCTGAGACTGTGCTCAGATGCCGAGCTCCCATCGGCCCCAGCGTTGGAGAGCCGCTCTCCGTCTCTCTGCCTTCGGCTTCTGGTTCGCCCAGGAGTGTGAAAGCCTTCCTCGTCTGTGGCCTCTTCATTGCCGTTCTAGACAGAGAGGGAAAGTCCTGAAGTCCCAGCTCAGTTCCGTGGAACCAGCCACCCACCAGGACGAGCAATGGGGTCTCCAGACGTCTGTCCTGCCCTCGGGACAGATGACAGAACGCGGGGTGCAGCAATAAGGAAACAGGCCGTCCTGATCTCGCTGTCGCCTCGTCCTTCTGGGCGATTCTGTCGTTCCTCCTTCCTGCCCGTTGTCACCTTAAGCAGAGTCAGGGCGCAGGGGAGAAGGAGGATGAAATAGGTCCTGGAATGGCGAAAAAGCAGAATGTTTCAAGACGTAGGAAAAAACATCACTAAGATCCAGTGTATCTTAGATCTTATGAGTCCTGTGGACCCGACTCAATAGAATTTTTCTGTTCAAATAAATTTTCTCTTTGCTCTTTGGAAGCCCTCCAAGAAGTCATGAAACATTATTCCTTACAAGTGATAAAAATGCTCAGAAGAGAAGCTCGCAGCTAATCTCGGGCCCGGCGAGCACTGAACCTGGGCAGAGCAGGTGGTGACGTGGCCTCGCCTGACCCGTGAGGGTGACCGGCCGTCAGGGCATCCCGCTCACATCGTTTCCCAGGAAAGGAAGCGCTCGCTGAGGACAGTTGTATTCTAAAGTCGGTTCAGAGTTCTTCCTTCTAAGAAGTGTCTTCCCACCTTTCGATCGCCCTGCAAGGGCACCGATGCGTTGGTTGTGGCCATCAGCTTTGGTGGAGGGATGCCTAACAGGAGGCCATGTGGCATGGTGGTTAGAATCGGGGCTTTATGAGTGTCCTGGGGCTGCCCTGACAGAGTACCACAAATTAGGGGCTTAAAACAGCAGAAATGTCTTCTCTCACTGTGCTGGGAGCCAGAAGTCCCGCCTCAAGGCGTCGACAGGGCCACTTCTGAGGGAGAGTTCATCCCAGGCCTCTCCGCAGCTCTGGGGGCTCCCACGGTCCTTGGTGTCCCTTGGCTGTGGCCACATCACTCCATCTCTGCCTCAGTCACCATGGGGCATTCTCTCCGTCTGTGTCTGTTCCCCCTCTTCTTATAAGGACACCGGTCATTGGTTAGGGCCCACGCCAATCCAGTACCACCTCGTCTTAAGTTGATTACGTCTGCAAACACCCTATTTCCAAATAAGGTCACAGTCACAGGGCTCAGGATGTCAACCTGGCTTTGAGGGGCACAGTTCAACCCACAGCGGGGGCTGATGGGGTCCCAGCCACGTGCCTGGGGCCCTTCTGACCTGGAGCCTTTGACCGCCATCCCCTCTGGTGTTAACACTGGTGACCAAAGGCTCTCTGCCCTCTGGAGGAGTCAACCTCCTGCTGTTCTCTTCCTCTGATTTGTCACCCATGGACACCCCGTGTGGTTACTTTGGGCCTTGAAAGTTGTAGGGCCTCCTGCTGTCATCTAAGTTCCTCAGAAGCTGTGATTTTCTCGAGTCCCTTGTGGTCAGGCATTGACTCACTGCCCGCCCTGTGGCTCAGCTCTCAGGGCATCTCTGGGGGCCTCACTCTGGCTGGGCGTCATGGGGCAGCCCCCCCTTCCCCCCACCCCCACCCCAGTCCTGCTGTGGCAGAAGCAGTGCCTTCCCACAGGAACGCCTCCCTCCCTTTCAGCTCTGATAAAGTACATCAAGCCAGTGTTCGTGTCCCGATCAGACCAGGATTCCCGCAGGAAGACCGTGGAAGAGATCAAGAGACGGGCGCAGTTGAATAGAAAGTGGCCGCAGGTAACTCACTCCTGCCTGCATTTTGAGTGGATTTATTCCAAAAGATGTGAACTTGGAGATGGGGGTGGGGGACGGACAAAAGGTCCCAGGCTCGCCTCCCTGGGGGCTGGATTGTTTGGTTTCATTTTATTTTTGATGAATCTACAAATCCAAGAATGTGCTAAATATCAGGTACTTTGGGTTCTGGAATTTTAAAATTAAAAGGAATGGGAAAAACAGTTCTCACTTGCATCTCAAGTTCCCGAATCATCTTTATTGGAAATGAATCTTTTTATAAGTTCCAAGTCAGGAAGCGCTGTGACCTGCCCTGGAGGTCAGCGCAGTCTCGTGTCTGGATAGTGCATTAGTCTATATGGTGTCTTCGCTTGCCTCTGAAAATCCTGGCTGAGTGCGCCCCGCACATGTCTGGTTCCCCGGGGCGTCAGGATGACCAGACCCGGCTGTGAGGCGCTGGCCTCACCAATGTTAGCTGTGGACGTGTTTGTTCCATGCTGCACTTTTTTTCCTTCAAATGAGCCGACTTTGAGAAGCTGAACGTCCTGCAGGGCTCCCTGGGTTCCGGCAGCTCAGGAAACACTGGAAGGTCTGGCCCACAGCACCCGTGCCCACGGGCAGCCCCTTGGGGGCCGTGCCTTCAGGGTGCCCTGGCTGCCCACCACGGTCTAGGTCACCCCCTTCCTCCATTCAGCTTCCTGCCTGACCATCCGGCACGCCGGGGTTGGGCCCACGCTGGTGCAGTGCCACCTAGAGTTGAAAGCAACCACGTGGGCTGTGTTTCCAACAACTGGGGCAGGTTTAGCTTACGCCACGAGGCTGGAAGTCAGTGTGATCAGAGCAACTGGAGTCCCCGTGGGGGAGGCGTCCCGGGCAGCCCTCACCAGGTCCTCCGGCCGAGGGCCCTCCGTCTGCGCCTGTCCTGCACCATGTGTGGCGCCTGCCCCGTGCCAGCGCGTCCTGTGCGGTGTTTCTGGTCCCCGTGGACACTGAGGGTGGGCGCTAGCAGTCAGCCGTTTACGAGCCCCGCTGTCTGAATGGTGTGCTGTTGGCACGCTCGTGTTGCTTCCCTAGTTTGGTAAAAGCCCTTGTTAGAGAGGGAATCTGCATGGGCTTCCATGGTGCATCCTGCCTCGGCTGAGGATGGTTCAGGTGTCTGCGCTACGTCAGCCGCAGAGGAGACAGACTGGCAGCTGACCCGTGACCTCTGAATTATGTCCCTTTAATGCCAGCCTTTCTTTTTTCCATTTCAAGATAATGATTTTCCCAGAGGGCACTTGCACCAATAGGACCTGCCTGATTACCTTCAAGCCTGGTATGTTGTTGTCTTAATTTCTTCTTTTTCTCCTCGAGAGTGGAGGAGACCCGTGCTGCCTCCCAGTTTTCCCACAAAGTGCCCCTCGGCCTGGAACAGACGCTCCTGTCTGTTCCCTGCTGGGCAGAGCCATGGCCTGGCGTTTTCTCTGCATATTCACGGCCAGCGCAGAGGTTGAGGAACCTTCCAGGCCCCAAATAACCGTTAACCAGGAGGGCCTGGCAGAAAAGCCCCTTTTACTCTGAGGCTGGCATGAGATGTGCAGGTGGAGGACCTGCTGCCTCGGAAGTAAGACAGCGTTCGTTTTCCCCACAGGAGCCTTTATTCCAGGAGTCCCTGTCCAGCCTGTGGTCTTGCGGTACCCAAATAAACTGGTGAGTGTGTTTTCCTGGGGGCTTGTGTGAAGGTGGATTACCTGGGATGAGAAGTGCCAGGTGGTCTAATGTATCATTTCTAACCGACGCCGGTATTCTGGAACATTCCCCAGTATTCACACACGAAGTCCCACTTTCATAGGTCATGAGGCAGTGGCCCTTCCTCGCACGTGATCCATCCTGGCCTGCCATGTCCTCAGCAGCTCTCATGGCCAAGAACACACTCCAGGAAATTTTTAAATTGGGAATATTTAAGTTCTGGAAGCCTGGAGGCAGCAGGAGGGAAAGGAATTAAGTGACTTGATGGTTAATGTGCCTTCATCATGCCTCTGTTGGGTACAGAGGTTTTGTTTGTTCTAAGAGAGAAAATAAAAGGCATTTGGTGCTCAGAGTTCCTGGGTGATCTTGACAGACCCCCAGCTTGGGGTAGGGGGGGACTGGACGAGGCCTCAGACCAGGGCCTGCTGGGGCCCCGCCATGGCTTCCATTTCCACATCTGTGAAGCAGCCGTGGCTGTCTCATCTCCCAGGTACCTGTGGATGCTCCATCTCTCAGGTGCAGTCAGCCCGCCCTCCTCAGGGCGGGGGCCAGGCTACCCTGTGCCAGCTGCACCTCGCTTCTGCTGGAACCCCGTCCAGGCAGGCATCCTGGCACCTCGGTGGGCTGAAGGGCTCTTGTAGCTGAGACAGGTCCACACGGACCCATGTCCCCAGGCCCTGCCTGGGCGCCGGGTGCATTGGAGTGTTTCTCAATGGAGGACACAGAAGGTGGATTTGTTCCTGACGCTGAGCTGTCTCCCTGTCGTGGTGTCTTTATGACACAAAAGAGGAGACTCGCAGGTCATGACACGGTGGGGTCTGGAATTGCTGGTAGAGACAGCGGCAGAAGCACGTGTGACATCTGTGGGCATGAGGGGCTTCCAGGGCAGGCCTGCGGAGTCCCAGGTTTGCACACTGGACCCTGTGCCGCGGGTGTGGACAGAGGCCCTCAGAGCGGCCAGGAAATGAAGGCCAGGCAGAGCCGGCAGGCACACAGACGCACAGATGAAACTGTTCTTACTGTCCATAACTGAGCTCTGAAGAGGTGCAGTCCGTAGTCAGTTTCTGAAAGTAGGAGAATCTGTCATGGGTGTGTAGAAGTCTAGATTTTCCCCTTTTTTTTTTTTGTGAGGAAGATGGGCCATGAGCTAACATCTGTGCCAACTTCCTCCATTTTATATGTGGGATGCCACCACAGCATGACTTGATGAGCAGTGCGTAGGTCCGTGCCCAGGATCTGAACTGGCAAACCCCGGGCTGCTGAAGCAGACCGCACAAATTTAACCACTGCACCACTGGGCTGGCCCCTAGCTTTCCCATGTTTTAACTTTGTTCCATCAACTTATTTTAAGCAAGGTGCCCCTACTGGGGTCTTACATTCAACTTAGTTGTCACAGAAGCAGAACGTCCGCCTTGCGCTCATATTTCATCTGTCTGTGTCACGTGTTCTTCAGCCTCAGAACTGCGGGAAGAACAGAGCTGTGCAGAGCAGGGAGCCAGGCGGGGGGCTGGGGGAGCCCGTGCGGCAGGTGGGTTTTCAGGAGCCCGTGAGAGGGGTGCGGGTGAGTGTCAGGACTGCGGAAGAAAGGAGCCCATGTGGGTGACCAGTGTCAGGGTGGAGACAGGGTGTATCATCTAATGTCCCCACCTGGGTGGCTGGTGCAGCTGCTGAGGCTGAGGACGGAGAGTGTCTGAGATGCCCCTGTGGGAGTAGGGAGAGGCGGCCCCCGCAGTGGTTTGTTCTGCCCCTTCCCGAGCCTGGGCTGACCTGCTGGAGCACGTCTCTGACTGAGAGTTGAGGCAAGCACCTTTGGGGGACAGGTGGGTTGGAATGAGGCTGCCAACAGCATCATGCGTCCCGGTGATGGGCAGCGCAGGTGTCGGAGGCCCTGCTTGAGCACGTCTGAGGGAGCCGGCAGACAGAGCAGGTGCCCACATGGGAGATTGAAGTTGCCAGGAGCACCTGGGGGAAGGGCAGAAAAAGGGAAGGGGGCCTGGCTCTTACGCAGACATTGGAATTGTGACCGTGGAGCTATGGGAGGAGGGGTGAGCGTGTTTGGGGGTCTGGGAGGACAGGTCAGAGGTGGGCTGGGACAAGGTCTGGGCCAGGGACCGGGATGGAGGCCAGGATGGGGGCAGGCGCACCTGCAGAGGGAAGAGCCCGCGAAGCACATGTGGGGACTTCTGGCACCTGACTTCAGTTGTGATTCATTCTCTCCTTCTTGCCCCTAGGACACTATCACGTGGACGTGGCAAGGCCCTGGAGCGTAAGTGAGACCCTGTAATGTCTTGTTTGTCCTGTCCTCCTGGGAAGGCACAGGGCCGCTCAGGAGACTGCCGTGCACTCCGGTTCTTTTAGCAAATTCGAAAGCTCTGAACGCTGACCTGCTGCTGTTTGACAGCATTAGCCTCAGCCGACTATGGAAACTAAGTGTACAAACCCGCTGTTCTCACCCTCCTGGGTGCCGGGACTTAATGTCTTCACCCAGCGGGGAGGTAACCGTGAGAACTCTTCTCTTCCCACCTGTGTTTGTCGACTCACGGATTACATCACGTCACCTTCCTGGGGTCCTGCGTAAAGACAGATGCAGCTCCGGGCAGCTTCCCCTTCCACAGCTACATGGAAGGCACAGGGCTTCCAGGCACGACGGGTCTCCAGGGGTCCAACGTTTGAGGTGGTGTTTGATGAGGCCAGGCAGAGCCCTCCTGGGACCCCCAGGCCTTGCCAAGGGGTTTGGAACAGGACTCTGGGGAGGTGCCCTGAGGGGTGGCATATCCGAGTGGAGCTGATAATGTTTCCAAAGCTGGACTGCAGAGGGTAGGCGGTGAGAAGTGAGGTAGAAGCTGGGAGAAGGGCTGGGAAGGGCTCCTTCAGGAGTGGCCTGTGCTTGGGGCTGGCAGTGACAAGGCAGAAGTAGGGTGGGTACAAATAGTTATGAGGGGGATTGTCTATCTGGGGGAGTGAGTGAGGGCCCAAGGACAGGGGACTCAAATGTCTCCCCATTTCCGACTCCTGCAAACAAAAGGGTGGTAATGCTGGTTCTGAGATCAGGAACTCCAGGAGCCAGGCTTGGGGATCACATGGTGCAGAGCCTGTCCAGTCCGATGCCAGGAGACAGCCAGGGTGGGGACAGGTATCAGGTGGACAAGGTTTCCTGAGCTAGAGGACAAACTTGGGAAATGGTGGCTTGCAGGGCAGACCAAAGCTGCAGGTGTGGGTGTCTTTAATGAGAACAGTGAAGACCACTATTTGATAAAAGTGGCGTCACTCATAGCTGTGTCTTAAGGTTCGGATTTGGCTGAGGAAAGCTCAGCATCCCCCTCCTGAAGGAAAATTAGCTGCCCACTAGTGCCCTCTACGGGGAAAGGGCGTGTGGAGATTTTGCTCCAGAATTGGAAGTAATTTCACTAAAAGGAATTGAGAATCTTTTAACCAATGCTGTGAATCTATTCGTTTTTAAGGTTGGAAATCCTGTGGCTCACGCTGTGTCAGTTTCACAATCAAGTGGAAATTGAGGTTTGTATAGATATAGTGTTAGACAGTTACATTGAGGTCCATTTAGATACAATGTTATACAGTGTTGTTTTAAGGTCTGTATAAATGCAATTTTATACAATGTTATGTTGGGATCTATATAAATACAATGTTATATTGTCTATATAGATACAATGTTATACAATGTTATGGTGACACTTTGTACAGATACAATGTTATACAATGTTGCATTGTCTATGTAGATACAATGTTATATTAAGGTCTGTACGGATATAATGTTATACAATGTTATGTTGGGTCTATATAGATGCAATGTTATACAATGTCAAATTGATGTCTGTACAGATACAGTGTTTCATGTTATCTGTCTTGCATTGAACTCTCCATTTCTCATTGCTCCTTAGAGGTGCTTCCCAGTGGTTTTGCATCAATTACTTTGTGTCTCTTGCATGATTTCAAATCCATTCAGATAGGATTTTTAAAATCAACAAGGAAGCTAAACTCATCATTCTTTTATTATGGTTAGCATAGCCTAAGGGCATATAAAATTGGCACACATACTATGAATTGGTTTTTTGGCTTTTATTTTTACCTGATACTAATACTCCTGAATTCGTATTGCTAAATTTGTCATACTGTCATCCTCTGTTTAATACTTGGTCAGATCTGTAGCCTGCCTCCCAGTTTTCAGCCCACTGGATGTCTCTCAAGTCCTGATGCCCATCCTCTCGGCTAAATCAAACACAGTCACATTCGTGCAGCCTGTAAATTTTATTTGGGTGGATGAGGAATAGAGTTTATTTTCTTATGAAGGGAATTAGCATGCTACTCCTGCACCTGAAAATTAAAGATGAGTCATGTGCAACTTAAATTATTTAATGAAACAATTTGCTACCTTCTGATAAATATTACAGTGTAATACTGAATTTACAAATGATCCCGGCTTTCAACCAGGTTTTTCACTTCAGTAGAACATAAGCCGCTTAATTACAAGGACCCAGCTGAGAGAGCCCTGGCCCGAGTCCAAGGGTGGCAGGCCCGCCACTCAGGATGTTTTATGTGGCTCATCCGCGGGTGGCCCAGAAGCCCCAGTGGAGCGAGGATCTCCAGAAGACACGCTGGCACTGGCCGGGCCTCCCGGCGTGAACGCTCTGTTTCAGACCTGGTTCCTAATTTTAAGAGTCGAGAAGAAGCTGTGGCTTTGTGAAATCACTCTAAATGTCTTACTCATGTCACTCCTATGAGATACCAGTGCTAATGCGAGGAACTGTTGCAATTTAGTTTTTTAAAATGTAAGAGAGAGGGGGCGGAGTCAAGATGGCGGCGTAGGCAGACTCTGAACTCACCTCCTCCCGTGGACACAGCCAATTTACAACTACTCGTGGAAAAATTACCCCTGAGACAGAAC